TCGGAGCGCACAAAATTCCCGGACATGTCGCCAGGAGTGAACACCCTGACATAGCACCTTGCCCGGGGAGCCGGACGGACTAGCTCTTCGAATCTAAAGATGATGGCGTGCGAGTAGCAAACCTTGACCTGCGAGAGAATCTGGCCCTCCCCGACGACGAGGGAGTCGAGGCCGGACGAGACGCGGAGCAGGTGCAGCGTCGCCTCCTCGTCCTGCGGCGGCGGTGGTCCGCGCGGCGGCGGTGAGGGGCCGAGCGCGCTTGCAAACGAACTGGGCGCAGGCGGAGCGCGGCGGCGGCGCGGCGAGGCTTGGGGCGGGCGGCGCCTGCAGCATGAATAGGTTTGGGCGCAGCGTCTCGGCCTCGAGGCCGGAGTGGCCTCTCAAAAAGGAGAGCACGTCGCGCGTCGCGGCGTAGTGGTCCTCGGCGACTATGTACACCTGCCGGTCGACAGCGATGACGAGACGTCAGCGCCGCGCCGGGACGAGGGGCGGTTTGCGGCCGAAGAGGAGGAGGGCGGCGAGGACCAGCGCGGGCGGACGAGGACGCGTGCACGCACAGCCGGGCGTGTGGCGACGGGGCGGGCGGCACCTCGAAGCGGTTGCAGGTGGAGAGGATGGCGGCCTCCTGCACCGTCTCGTACCCGACGAGCGCCGCCGCCGCCTCGTTCCACTGAGCCTCGGGGATCGAGAGCTTCTCGCGCACCTCGACCGTCGCCGTCTTGTGCGAGAGCCCAATCACCAGCGGCTTTCCAAAGGTCTGCGCCCCCTTGCGCTTCGACGCTGCAGCCGGCGGCGACACCGCAGCCTCTGCCGCGGCGCGCGCCTGCTCCATCGCCTTGGCCCCCGCCGCTGCAGCGGTCACCACGGCTGCTTCGCTAGGCTGCGTCGCTGCGAGCAGGAGGGGACGGAGGGTGGGCTGGTGCTGCGCTGCGCTACTCGCGCCACCACCCCGCGCGCAGTGGATCCGGCGACCACGCATCGAAACCGCTCTCGGCTCTTGGGCTGGCTGGTGCGCACCGGAGCAGCGCGGAGCAGCGGCGCGCGCGGCGCGCGAGGCGGGCGCGACAGCAAGCTGCACGCCCCCCGCCCCCGCGAGGAACGCGACAGACAGTAGCAGCAAACGCGATGCCCTCACCCTCATTGGAATGCCGAGGCGAGCTCACAAGGCGGCCTAATAAGGGCGGAGTTGTGTTTTCTTTTCTGTTGCCTTTCTTATGCCGATCCACCCTGCACGAGAGAGAGAGGGTGTAGGCAAAACAAGACACAGAGCTCACACAGAATCACAGCGGGAGGAAAGCGGCGAGTCGCAATTCCTGGGGTCCTTGTGGGTGCAGGGTGGTAAAATCTGGGCACCACTGCCACTCTCGAGGTTCTCGAGGTGGATATCTATCCTTTGGCCGCGTTGGGTAGCGAGGATCGGTTTAACGCGGTCCACGCAGGCGTGTTTGCTGACGGCCGACCGTCAGTGCACGGAGTTGCCCCTTTATCCGACTGCCCCTGCGCCACCCTGCTCCCTGGCGCCTCTGGGCGCTGGGGGCGTCGCCGTCGCTGTCTCGCTGTTTTGGGAGAGAGAGATTTAGCAATAGGGAGGGTGGTACCTTTTGTGAAACTGAAACGCGGAACGCGATCTGTCTCGCGTTCCTCACTCAACGCTTGCGATTCAGCTGTCGCGCCGCTGGATGATCTTGCTCAGCTCGCCGAGCTCGACCTGAACGGTCAGCGGCGCGACCGCTGAATCGCAGCCGTTCGTGCTGCACGCATGCATCGTTGCAGTTTCACCTGAGAGAGGGTGTAGAGGATGTAGAGTGTAGAGCGCTGTATGTAGAGCTGTATGTAGAGCTGTAGAGCGCTGTATGTAGCGCTGTAGAGCTCTACATCCGCCTCGGGACGAACTGCGTGCGTTGTAGAGCGATGTAGAACACACCAGTGAGGGAGGGCGAGACGATCGAGGGGTCCCGTACTGGGCTGGGTTTTTAGGCATTGTGGGGTTGGCACTCCCATCGACCCTCATGACCTCCTGCGGTCTCTGAGATGGACACCAGTGGGTGTGGGACCACAGCCAGGATACACTCGAAGGCTGGGTAAGCAGTAGAGGTCGATACTCGACGCGTACCACATGGTCTGTGTCGCTGTCGGCACGCTGTCGACAGGACGCGTCGAGCGACACCGGTGGCAGTGCCACCCAGGAGTGGTCGGGCGGTCTCCCGTCATGAGAGAGCCACCATGTGATCCGTATGATGGTTCCTGACAACCGCCTCAGTCACTTTTCGTCACAGTTCCCGCTCTGAGAGGAGCTGCGGGTCAGTTCGACAGCTGGAGCTGTGTCGCCGGCGTGCGGCGGCCTGCCTCCGGAGGTGCCTCTGAGGTGGACATTTGTTGGTCACCGTGAGAGAACGCGTTCGAATTTTCACTCGCGCACCGGCCAGGGCTACAATAGTGCCAGTGAGGCGGAGGCGCGAGTCGGAAGGCCGCGACCGTGATTTGGTTTCGACATTTTCCTACAATCGCTGTGAACCCAGCCACGTACCATGCGGAATCGACCCTATCCAGTGCTCAAGTGCTCAAGCGATGTAGAGGCGCTCTACAACGTGAAATCTCTACAACAAACTCTACATCTCTTTTCTCCCAGTAAGCTAAAAGTACGTACATCAAAGCGGCGAACGAGGCACGGTCGCTCTCCGACATGAGGCGCGTTGCACTTGCCAGTGCTGCCCTGGCCTTCTGTCTGCCCGCCCAATGGGTGGCAGGTGCCTCTGCTGCTGTGGCATGCCTCACGGCTGCGACTGGCCGGCGCGTCGGCGCGTCAGCTCGGCTCGGCGTAGCGATAGTGGCCAGCGCAACTCGCCTGGACTCAACGCTCAGCCAGGAGCTCCCGCACGCGCTGGCGCGAGGTATGGCGCATGCAACGCGCAGCAATGCTCGCCTCGCCTCGCGCAAATGCGACCGTCCTCGCAGCCGACAGTCCACCGCCTGCTAAAGAAGCACTGGGCGTGGAGGGCGGAGGTGGGCGTGGAGGGCGGAGGTAGGCGTGGAGGGCGGAGGTGGGCGTGGAGGGCGGAGGTGGGCGTGGAGGGCGGAAGTGGGCGTGGAGGGCGGAGGTGGGCGCTTTCGGAGCTCTCGGCTGCGTCCAATACGCGAGCCGGTAGTGGGTTGCAGGCTGGCAGGCGGGCAGGCGGCCGGGCAGGCAGGCAAGCTGGGAGGCAGGCAGGCAGGCAAGCTGGCAGGCAGGCAGGCAGGCAGCAGGCAGGCAGGCAGGCAGGCAGGCAGGCATGCAGGCGGGCACGCACGCAGGCAGGCAGGCAAGCAGGCAGGCAGGCAGGCAGTGGGGATGGGTTGGGGTCTGCGTGCGTCTGGTTTGAGGGCAGGTTTGTGTGCTGGGCTGCGCTGCCGCTCCGCAGGGAGGCGGGGACGCGCGCGCTTGGGCGGTGGGCGCAGAGGCGCATAAGGGGCGGGAGTGGGTGGGTGTTCTGGGGCCGGGCGGCGGTCGGACTGGCGGGGGCAAGTGGTGCTGCGCTGAGTGGTGGTGCTGAGCTGAGTTGCGCGGGTTTGCTGCGGGAAGGTCGGTGGCTGGGCGGGCGGGAAGCGAGGCGTGGTGGCTCCCTGTGTTCTCGTTGTGGGGGGGAGAGCGGTCGCGTGGAGACATGTGTCGTGAAGTTTTGTGTGGCTGGAGTGTGTAGGTTTGGGAATGTGTCGGTCTGGTCTGGTGGGTCTGCGCGGCGCGCACTCTCGGGTCCAGGTGGGCGCTCAGTGCTGCACGCCTGGTTGGTGGCGGCCATTGGCGGCGGCGTGGCGCCGAGCGACTTCCCTCCGATGGGCGGGAGCGGCCGCGGGGCGGCGGCGGGCGCTGCGGGGGCGGTTTCCAGCATCGCGCGCGAGCCAGGAAAAAGAATTTGACAAACAAGGGCACAACAAGACAACAGACGACAGGAAGTAACATGTGAGACTAGAGCAGGCTGCGCTCCCCTCTAAAGAAAAAAAGAAAGAAAACATACAACCCAAGGGAGGGATGGGAGGACGGCACGCCGCCACCACACAGGGATTTTAAGGAGAGGAGTGTGGTGTGTTAGCCCTCGCCAACCCTAACCCTTGGTCGTCTGCCTCTTTCTATCTCCCTTCGCAGTCCCTCGCCTCTAGAAAGACTAGAAAGAACGGCCACATCACGTCGTTTTACCGATAGTCGGGTTGCTTCCTTGAGTGGTCGGTGCTCTCATATTCAGGGTTTTCGCACGGCATTTAAATTTGTTGTTTCACCCCGACAACACAGCGGCGCGCCTCGCGGTAAAGTCGCGCGCGGCAGCGTGAAGCCAATCACCGGGGCAAGCGTGGAGCCCGAACCCGGATGTTCGGGATCAACCACGGCCTCATCGTCACCGCCCTCGTATTTGCCGCCGCCGCTCTCGCCCGGTGGCGCACGACTACTACTCGTGTGCCAGCTTTCCTGGGTGGCTCTCGGCCGTTTGCTCTACTGCTGGGGGACTCATTAACGGGCCGTGGGTTCCAGCCAGAGCATCACGGCTGGGTTGCCAGCCTCAGTGATCGTTACAGCCGCAAGCTCGACCTGGTTAATCGAGGCTACGGCGGGTGGAACTCACGCTGGGTGCTGAGGGCTCTGCCGCATCTGCTACCGCGCTGGGGGCCAGATGCCGCGCAGTGCCGCTGGGTGACGCTGTGGCTCGGCGCCAACGACGCGGTGGACGAGTGGGCGAAGCAGCACGTTCCGCTCGTCGAGTTCCGCGCCAACCTGCGCGCGATCATCTCGCAGCTACGGGCCGCCTTTCCCGAGGCGAAGCTTCTCTTGCTGACGCCGCCGCCGTGCGACACGGACGCGTGGGCCGCACACCGGCTGCGGCAGGGGAAGTCCTCCGAGCGCTCGCCGCAGCAGGTGGGCCTGTACGCGGAGGCAGTGCGAGAGGTTGCCCGCGAGCACGCGGGTGGCGAAAGCGCCGTGCTGGTCGACATCCACCGCGCTTTTGGCGGAGCGGACGGGAAGGGAGTCTCCAGCCTGACGCTCGAAGACGGCGTGCACTTGGGGGCCAACGGCTCGGACCTGGTGGCAGGGGAAGTCCTCCGAGCGCTCGACGGGCTGGGGCTCGGCGTCGAGGCGTGCGCCGAGGATGCACCAGGCCACGCAGAGATTGAGAGCGCTGCCGACATAGATCGATGGTACACGAGAGGTTGACGTCGCCATCCGCTGACCGCTCTCACTTTCTTTTACTGAATGTGTGTATTTATTTGCGTGCGTGTGCGCCGCGCGGCTCCTCGGAGCTGAGCGTTGCGCCCTGCCGCACCGGGCGGTACCGACCGTCAGTCGTTTCAGCGGTCAGCCCGAGGAAAAGAGGGCGATCCGAAGAGCCATTTTTACATCCGGCTGAGTCCACACGGTCAAGGGTGCCAGCCCCCCGGGCCCCCACCGTGTAAACGGGCAACCCCTGGCGCCTGGGTGGGAGCCACGCGAGGTCACGACGTTAAACACACCATGTAAAAGCTCTCCGCGAGCTCTCCGCGAGCTCTCTCGAAGTACCAGCTTACTTTCGAAGTAACTTCGACGCTCAGAAGTTAGTCTTGCATACACCCCTTGGCTTGCGCCATAAACCCCTCAAATTTAGGCGTTCCGTGCTCCGGCCTCCGCTTCACCGCGATGGCCAGCACGTCGTCGCCCGCACCTGCTGTGGCACTCATGGATCAGATGGCGACCGACTCGTTCCTGTCGTCACTCGCTGAGCTGCGGAGCATGCCGCATACTCACGTCAATGAGAAGCCGGTCGGCAGGGCGGAGAAGCCCAACGACTTTGGCGTGCTCGTGACGTTGAATTATTCCAGAGAGGGTTAATGAGCAGCTGACGGAGGCCGGTATCGAGGCGACTCTGCCAGCAGCCGCCCCCACCGCAGGCAGCAACTCCCGAGGAGCTGAATTAACTCGCCGCCTGGATCGACGAGCAGCCCGATCCGGGTGCTATCACTATGGTGCGGGCGCGATTGGCTTCACAGCCAACGCGCCAAAGCTTCTGGGGCGGTAACAATGGCGTTGCTGATGGAGCATCGCAGCTGGCGGAAGCCCATGTGTGCGCAGCTGAGCGGCAGTTGAAGCGAGCCCAGCAGCGGCTAATTTAGGAGGTCAAATCAGCGATGCAAGCGTACAAAATCGGATGGATAAGGAGTTCGCAGCGCTGGCGGAGACATTGGATTCGACGCTGATATGTAGTCGTTCCCGGCACCCCACGTCCCACGTGCGTGCGTGTGATATTCGAGGGCTCGACCAGATCGTGAGCGTTGTGAAGCCGCAATTTCGTACTTAGCGATAGGCAGGCACATCATGTGGGTACTCAGGATCACTCGTATGAGAACGTCAGCACGTGGCTACGCTCGGAGGGCGACCTAACACCTAAGCACCCCGCTTACCGCGGGCGGTCTCTGGGGTTGGGACCTGGGGCCCGCCGGGGCCGGGGCTGTCGGCTGAGCCATTCTCCGTCTGGTGGCTCTCTACGGAGCGTTTACATAACAGCTCGGCACCCTGACCGTGGACTCAGCCATCCAGCATCCTTTTCGTCTGATAGTCGTCATGCGAGTTTCTCTCTGGAGCGCTCTGGCTACTCCTCTGCTCTTTGGAGGCCTCTCTGCACCTGGACGCTCTTGTACAGTTGTACTTGATGCGCTCTCTGCGGGTGTGGGCGGTGGACGCATCTAGATGGTCTAAACTCTAATAAATAAGCGCGAGATTCATATAGGGCAGACGGCTCCGCGTCAGACAGGGGGGTCCGCGTGGTCAAAGATAGCCGTCTCCATCAGAAAGAGCAAGAAAGCGACCCAGGTGCAAAAGGCGCAGAAGAACATGCTGATCAGCACCTTGAAGTAACCCATGTTGCCGCCAAACCCCCGCCCACAGATGCAGCGGCCAAAGACGCCGCAATGGTGGTCGAAATGCGTCACACAGCGCTGGCATATGCTGCAGTGGTGCACCTCACCCGCATTGTCCGGCCGCCAGACGAAGCACCGCACGCAAAACGTGCGCCCATCGTCGCCGCGAACGTTGGACCGGATGGAAGAGAGGTCCTTACCGGCTAGTAGCGCCTCGGAAATCGCGTTGGGCAGCGGGAAGCACGTTTCGCGGGAGCGCTTGACCACGCCGGGATCGCCGAGAGCGAGTCCGAGCAGGCAGATGATGGCGATGACGGCCTCAGAGTAGATGAGGGCCGCGTAGATATCCTTGCCTTCCTCGCCGCAGAGATACACTTGCGACGTGTAAAAGGCAATCAGGCTCAGCACGAAGACGTTTCCGCACGCGTTTTGGGAGCGCATTGCCTTGTAGTCGGGAGTCGGTAGCTTTGGCAAGTTGGAGAGGCTGTCGCCTAAGCCGCGGCGCATCCTAGCGCCTTGGGTACGGCCGAGGCCGCCGGACTCGACGTCCATCACGGCGGCGAACTGCGACGGAGCGGGAGGCGCAACTGCAGGCTTTACCGGCGCCCCACGCTTCCTCCCAGCTTCGAGCTCCGACAGCTTTGCCGCCCGTTCCTTCATGGCGTGGACACAATCACTGACAGGCGGCGAATTGGGAGGGGAGGCCGGCCGGGCAGCAGGATGAGTTCTTGGAGGTCGCCATCGGAGATGACGTCCAGCTCAGCTGGACCTGCATATGGCTCGTCCGCTGTGCACGCTTGCGGGTACAGCACGCCCGGCTCCCTCACAAGCAACTCCGAGAGCTTGAGCGCTCGATCGAGGTCTCTATTTTCGATCGCGGCGCGGATGCTCGTGAGGCGCTCCTGGCAATCCTCCTCAGTTGGAGGCACGCCCGCAAGCACGACCAACGGCAGCGCCACGAAGATCGCGAGGGCTCCGACAGTCATATGTCACCGGTACATGAACATGAGTGTCGGGGTGCATATAAGAACGGCCAAGCGGGACGTCCCTCCAAGTCCCCTCCATGATGAAATTTTCCAGGTTGCCACATGGATGGCGGTTCGGTCGGGGATCCCGTGATGAACCACCGGACCGGACGCATCCTACATGCAATAATAACAACAAACCTAAATAATAATGTGTATATGTCACGAGAGAATTCAGAGAAACGAAAGAACACGGGGAAAGCCCAAACTTTGGCTCTCTGGGAGGGAGCACAGACAACCAACTGGCAACCAGCTGTTTGTTTGCGGTGCTTCAATTTCGCCGGCTCGACGTCCATCTGGACAAACCAAAGTCTCTCCATCTGGAGGTGCTTTACCGGCGCCCGACGCTTCCTCCCAGCTTCGAGCTCCGACAGCTTTGCCGCCCGTTCCTTCATCGCCTCGAGCACCTCTTGGGACTTGGCGCAGCGCCCGCGAGCTCGTCGGGCTCGGGGATCATCCAGCTTCCAGGTCACCTTCTTCGGCGCCTCACATCAAAAGCGAAAAAGTGACCCCTTCCGCTTCTCGTCCGTGTTAACAAAATAACGGCGATCTTCGGAAGCAGTTTCCGAGAGCTGAAAAAGAAAGCTGTGAAAAGAAAGCCAATCCTGATCGCGCAGGAGGCTGCCGTCTCTCTCGCGCAGAAGACTGCTCCGCAAGCTTCGCGGTGGGGCGCGGCGCCGACGCCGACTTTCGCTGAGCGTGCGGAAATGGAGCAGATCGACTCATTCGGGGCTGCTGGCGGGAGTGAGGCACTCAGCCGACCGCACCAGGCCGGCGGCCTGTTCGTTGTGCAGCCGGCGTTGCAGGTGCAGGGATACCAGGCGGCCGAGCCCAGTCCGATCCTGGGGGGCGCGCCGACTCGCAACGCGACGGGTGGAGGCGGTGCGCGCTGCCTGCCCCTGCAGCGTCCAGCCAGCCGTCAGCCATGCCACTTCCTCGCCGCCTGACGCGCCTCTGCCAAAACCCGCGCAGGCTCGCGCAAGGCCAAGGGCGGCAAGGGCGGGCCGGGCGCGCTGCGGCTGGGGGTGAGCGAGGAGGAGGAGAAGCGCCGCGCGCTCGTGCACGAAGCGGAGCGTGCCGCGCGTGAGCGCGCCGACCGCGCCGCCCAGGAGCTGCTGCAGGAGGAGCAACGCGTCAAGCAGGAGGGCGGCTCCTTTGTCCACGTCCCTCCCGAGCCCAAGAAGAAGAAGGGCGCGACGAAGAAGGGGAAGAAGGGCAAGCAGCCCGCAGGCGAGGCCAGTGGCGGCCGCGCGTCGGACGACAACACCGCGCACAACGACGGCGACGACACTGCGGCCACTGCGCTGCCGCCCGACGGCAGCGGCGGCGGCAGCGGCGGCATCAAGGTTTCCCTTGAGCTCTCCGTCGGCGGGGCGGGCGAGGAGGCGCGGGTGGAGGCGCACGCGCTGACTGCCTCGGAGGCGGGCGAGGAGGACGCGCTGCCCATGCAGAAGCCGCCGCCGTCGCCGCCCAAGCCGCATGATCGTGGCGACGGCAAGGCCAGCGCCGCCGAGTCTGCGGCAGACGCCTCGTGGGAGGTGGTGGGAAAGAGCCGGCGCAAGGGCCGGAACAAGCCGGCGGTGGACGAGGACGCTCCGCCGGGCTCCTCGGGCTCGTCCGACTCTGGCCGCGGTGACGCGCCAGGGCGCGGCGGGGGGGGCTTGCGGCGCGCGTGGTCCGCCGATCCGCTCGGCGCCTCGCAACGTGCCGCCTCGGCAAAGGGCGCCTCTGCTCCCTCCGCCACCGCGTCTGCGCCTTCGCAAGAGGCGCTCGCGGCGACGGAGCGGCATCCGCCCCCGGCGTCGGAGGCGGGCTCCTCCTCCTCCGGCTTCTGCGGCTCGGAGTGCGACTCGAAGTCGGAGGCGGGCTCATCTTCGTCCTCGGCGACGGGCGCGGGGACGGCCTTTGGCGAAAACACAGCCGCGTGTGCGGGCGGCGGCGCGGCGCAGCAAGACTTTGCTGGCTGGGCCGACACGGCCCTTCCCGGCGCGGCGCCCGGCGCGTGCGCCTCGCCATCCGCGCAGCCCGGGGCCACGGGTGCGGCTGGACCAGAAAAGGGAGCGCCGCCGCCGCCGCTGCCGTGGCCGACGCTGCAGGCGCCGTCCAGCCCGCGCGGCGGTGGCGCTCCGGCGAAGCCGCCGCCTGCAGCCGAGGCCCCCGCCCCGACTGCCGTCCCGCCTTCCCCCGCCGCCGCCGCCGCCGCCCTCGCCACTGCCGTTTCCGCCGCGGCGTCGGCCGTCTCGGCCGTCTCTGCCGCCGCCGCGGCCTCAGCCGCGTCGTCTGCCAAGCCGCCGGCGACGCGCTCGTGGGCCGCGCTGGTGAAGAAGGACCTGGAGAAGGAGGCGGATGCTGACCAACCCAAGGCGCCAGTGCTGGCCAAGGGGTTCACCCTCCTCTCCTCCGCCGCCGCCGTTTCCTCTTCCGCCGCTGCCAGCTTAGCGCCCGGCGCCGCAACCGCGACCACCGCGGCGCCAAGCTCCGCGGCAGCCACATCGATGCCTTCGACGGGCGGGTCGACCGAGCCCGCGCCCGCGTCGGCGGCGGCGCAGAAGGCTGCGCCCGACGCTGAGGCAGCAACGGGCGTGGAAGATCCAGGCGCGGGCGAGCAGGCCGCATCAAGTTGCCCCCTCGCGACGCAGACCTCGCCGCTCTCGAGCCCACCAGAGTCGGGCAAGCGCGCAGCCAAACCACCATCGGCTGCGCCGCCACCGCCGCCGCCCCCCCCGCCGCCGCCGCCGCCACCCCCGCCGCCGCCGCCGCCGCCCCCGCCGCCGCCATCAAAGGGCGCCAGCGTCGAGGCTGGCGTTGACGCAACTTCTAGGCCGGCCGCCCAGGCGGAGGCGAAGAGCGCCCCCGCCACTCCGCAGCAGACCAAGCCGAAGCCTGCGGCGTGGAGTTCAGCGGCGGCACGGCCAAAGGCGCTCATGATTCCGCAGTCTCAGTCATCCGCCACGGCGACCGAGGTCCCTTCCGGCGGCGGAGGTTCCGATGGACGCGCTCCCGCCGCCGCCGCCGCACCCTCGTACGCCGCCGCCGCGTCGCCGCCGATGGCATCCGCGGCGGCGGTGGCGGCGACTTCCGAGCAGCCCGCTGTGCCGCAGCCGCGGGGTGCACCGCCGCTCCCGCGTGAGATGCAATCGCTCTCCTACGCGCAGATGGCGGGAGCCTCGGCGTCCGCCCGCGCGCCCCCGACCGACCGGTCTCCGCAGTCGGCACAGCAGCTGACGGAGCAGTCCACCGGACTGACGCACGAAAAGGGCCAGGGAGCAGCCCCGACCGACGGGCGGCCGACCTCGGTGCTCCTGCGTCCACCGCTCCCGCCCCAGCAGCCGCCGCAGCCGCCGCAGATCGACCGGGCGGCGTCGCTCACGGAGCGGACCAGCGCGCACCCGCGCAACAACGCGTCGCGCGGCGGAGGCGGAGGCGGAGGCGGCAGCTCCGAATCGTCGCGCCAGCTGCCCGAGCGGCCGGCTTCGGCACCTGTGCGCGGCGGCGGCGGCATGGGGCCGGCTCCGAGTGCCGCCGTGCCCATCGCGCCGACGCAGGCTGCGATGAACCAGCTCATGTACATGCAGGCCACTGGCCAGCCCTCGATGATTGGCACGTACGGAATGCCGGTCGCCTACCGCTTTTACGGCCCGCCGCCGCCGCACGGGCCCCACCTGTGGGGGAGCCACCGGAGCAACCACTCGGGGGAGGCGCAGGGCGATCCCCACGCGCCTCCGCTGTGGGGCAGGCTCCCCGCTACGAGCCACATGGCGTCGGGCCCGTCCGCGGGCGACGAGGAGGGCGGGCTCGGCGACGGCGAGCGCGCGGCGTACGCGTTCGGCCAGTGGGCAAACAACGCGGAGGTGAGCCCTGCGCGCCAGGCGGGCGGCGGCAAGCGCGGGAAGCAGCAGGGGGGCGGCCACTCGCAGCAGTTTTCAGGCCCCGGCACCCACTTGCTGCGGCAGCAGATGTTCACGCCGGCGGGGGAGGCGCAGCAGCAGGCGCAGCAGCGGGGGGCGGGGCGGGGCGGGGCGCCGCCGCCGCTCCCGCCTTCGCAGGCGCAGGTTCAGGCGCAGGCTCCGTCGCCCGGCCACGACCGCGGCAGGAGGAGGAAGAACCGCAGCGGTGCCGCACCCACCGGCGAGACGCCGCCGCCTTCGCCGTCCAACTCTGCGGCCGCGTCGCCGGGCGCTCCGTCGCCCAAGCAGCCGCCGCCGCCACCGCCGCCGCCGCCGCCGCCGCCGCCGCCGCCGCCGCCGCCGCCGCAGCCGCCGCAGCCGCCGTCGCCGTCGAGCGGAGGTAAAGAGGGCAGCACCAAGGCGCAGCGGAAGGTCGCACAAGCGGGGCAGCAGGAGCGGGGGAGGGGAGAGGCGCCGAGGCACGGGGTGTCATCGCCGCCTGTGCCGGCCGCCGCCGCGCCGAACGTCGCTCCGCCGCCGCTCCCCCCCATGCGCACGTCGAAGCTGCACGACGAGATTTTCGCGTTTGCGCAGGCGCCACCCCCCCGCCCGCCCGCCCGCGCGCGCCCCACCGCCCCAAACCGCGACCCTCACCCACCACCACGCCCACCTCGCCCACACCACCCGCCAACCCGCCATCGCCCCCCACCCCCCACCCCCCACCCACCCACCGCTCGCACCCCGACAATCCGCCCGCGCAGGCGAGCATCACGCGCGGAGAGGCGGCGCACGCCGAGGTGCAAGGCATCCTCGCCTCGCTCCGCGCGCTCGTCTCCTCTCGCTGGCCTCAGGCGACGGTCGAGTTGTACGGCTCTCGCGCCACCGGCCTCAGCCTCGCGAGCAGCGACGTGGACGTGACGCTGCTCGGGGTGCCGTGCGGCGCCGGGCGCGAGGCGGTCGGCGGCGCGCTCAAGGAGCTGCACGCGCTGATGGAGGGGCAGCCTTGGGTTGCGAGCCAGAAGCTCGTCCTGTCGGCCCGCATCCCCGTGCTCAAGGTCGCCACGCCGGGCAGGGCAACTCCTTCTGTTGAGTAGGTACTGACTGAGACGCAATCATGGATAGGTCGCCACGCCGAGCAGCATACCGATCGACATCACCATCTCGGACTCGGCGCAGCACACCGGCTTGCTCGCCCGCGACTTGGTGCTCGGCTACTTGAGCGAGGCGCCGCAGCTCACGCCGCTCGTCCTCGTCCTCAAGTCGTTTCTGCGAGAGCTCGGCCTGAACGACCCGTACACCGGTGGCATGTCCTCCTACTCGCTGGTCGTGCTGCTGTGGCTCTTCGTGTGCGAGTCGGCGCACCGCGGCTACAACACGACGGACCTCGGCTACCAGCTGCTCGGCTTCTTCTCGATGTTCCTCTACCGCTTCGACTCCCAGGTGACGCACGTCGACGACCCTCTCTCGCCCATGATCACGGCGCCGGGCGAGCCGCGCGAGAACATCATGCACTCGTGCTACCAGGCGATCGCGACCCCCCCCCGCCCCGCCCCGCCCTCACCCCCCGCTCCCCCCCCCCCACCCACCCCACCCCACCCCCCCCCCCCCCCCGCCCACCCCCCACGGGGGGGCTAAAAGCTACCTCCCACCAGGTGATTGGCATCATCAGGACGACCCGGCAACGGAAGAAAGCACGCCTCTGCCGTTTCCACCCTAGAGGATCACTCAAGTGCCTTTGGGATGCCACCGCTACGAGGCGGAGACTAATGGGCGGAATACAGGTGTGGCATAGTGTCCTCACAGAGGACGCCATAGGGATGTTCTCAATTCTCCGCCGTCTCTCCACCCCCGCCCCCCCCCTCCCCCTTCTCAGATTGGCCGCGTCTGCCGCACCTTTCACCGAGCCCTCCAGCTCCTCTCGCCCGAGACGCCAGAGTGGGACGACCCCGCCACGCCGCTGCTGCCGCGGCTCTTTTCCGAGGCCTCCTCCGCCAATCGGGCGACGCAGACCGAGGCCACGGCGACGACGCCGCCGCCCGCCGCCGCCCGCACGCCCCCGTCTAGTGGGGGCTCCTCCGCCGCCGCCTCGGCGCCGCCGCCCGACTCGGCCGCCGCTTCGGCCATCGCGTCGGTCGTCGAGGAGCTGACGGCGGAGGTCGAGGCGCAGTCGACGGCGGAGGCTGCCGCGGCGCCACCCGTCCCCCCCGCGGCAAAGGGCGAGACGCCCTCCGCCGAGGACGCCAAGCCGCTTGCGCCGTCGCCGCCGCCTCCGCCCTCGCCGGCCAGCGGCGCCGCCGGCCCGGTTGCCGCCAGTCCCGAGTGCAGGAGAGGAGTCGCAGAGGAGGCTGCGACCAAGCAGAGGTGTTGACAGTGCGCCTGAACTCTGATCCGGCCAGACGCTCTGATACCGCATGCGTGGAATAGGTGAGAATAGCTTCTCATCGCGACACAAGGACACTCTGTGTGCGTGCGTCGGCCCTTACACGAGCCTCCTCCCCGTTATCTCTCTGTGGAGGCGTTTCGTCCGTTTTTGCGGGTCACATGTTGTTCTTGAAAGAATCCCTTAAATGAATAAAAATCCGGTAGATCTCCGCGCAAAACGAATAACACGTTAAACAAAACCAAGAACATTTGAAAACATCCTTGGCGCCTGCAGGGAGCGGATTGCTACAAGTACAACCCGAAGCTGGCCACGGCATTGAGCACGGCGCGGCCGCCTACACGCTCGGTCTCATGAAGCAGCTCAGTCGTGATCACCGCGGCGGAGTGTCGATTGGCAGCGACAATGGCCGCTGTGCACGCTCGGATCGTCCCGAGGCTGCAAGCGGCGAGGTGCAGCAGCGCGAAGCTCTCCATCTCCATGGAGCACGCGTCCGGGTGCTTCGCCAGCACCTCGGGCACCACCGTGCTATTTCGGTCGTCAAAGTGCTCGTCGCATCTCCCTTGCGCGGCGTAGAAACTGTCTGCGCTCGCGTTGAGGCCCTCCACCACGCGGTCGCCGAGCGCGGCGCGCAGCGCCACGCACACGTGCGCACAGAGGCGCGGGTCAGGCGCCACCGGCCGGGCAATCGTGTAGGCGGGCGTGCTGCCGCCCTCTCCCCCCGCAAAAGCGTCCGGGTTGCGCGAGACGTAGACGGAGCCGGGCGTGTTGAGCACGACGGTCCCGGGCGTGGCTTCGGGGCTGAGCCCGCCACAGCTGCCGAGGCGCACGAACACCATCGGCCCGTCAACAATCTGCCGCGCCTCGCGCACACAGAAGTCCATCATTGGTGCGCCCATCCCTGTGGCCACCACGCTGACCGCCACGCCAGCGACGGTGCCCGTGTACGTGGTGAAGCCTCTCGGTGAGGTGAGCGAAAGCGAGACGGAGTCCATCAGATCGCGCAGCCGCTGTGCGCGAGACAGCGACCCGACGCTGACCACGCGAGGGGCAAGCTCTCCCGCCCTGAGGCCGAGGTGCGTGACGCGACCGTCGCCGTCCTTCGGCACGCCGTTGGTGTCGCTGTAGTAGGCGGTGGCCATGCATAAATGTCGCGCCTTGAGCGCCTAGTCTCTCTGCGGTTGATGCTCTCGCGGGTTTCGCTTGGCGGCTCCCGTTTCAGATCTAGTTAGTGCGAGTGCATACGCACTGTCCTCTGCCTCCAGGGTTCCAACTTTTCCGGGGGTATGGTATGGTAGCCGCCCAAAGGGGTAGGGGGTATGGTCCTGCCCGCCCAAGACTAGCCCTACCATACCCCCAAGCAGCTCTGCCAGCAGGCGGGGGGGTATGGTCTTGAGCTGGCATGCGCGACCCTACCATACCATACCCCGGAAAAAGCTGGAACCCAGCCCCCTGCCACTACCGCCGAACTGCGTCGACGGGTGAAAGACGAATATCGCGCGCCTTGCGAAGGCACTTGGAGCACTTGGAGTCCGGTTGGCAACCGCACATAAACCGAGGCCGCGTCTCCAGGAGAGACATGAACATGGGCGACGTGGCCGCGATTTCTTCCACCACTCTCCTGCCGCACACTCTCTCGGTGCCGTTCAAGCCACTGCCCCGCCTCACCACATCGCGCGTGCTATTCACGCGAGCGCCGCTCTTCTGAGGTTGTCAGGCTGTGTTGGCTATCATGAACGACGAAGGCAAAACTCGCGTCTTTAAGGAGTCCCGCAGATTTCTTTTACTCTCGAGTAAGAAGTGGCGGCGCTGTCGGGCCTTTGGGCGAGCAGTCGCAGGCACACCGGATCCCGCGCCCCGCGAAATACACCGCATCGAGGCACCACCCGCGCCGGAATCCGCCGCGGTCCTCGCGGTCCCCCCGACCGCCGCTTTCCCCCTCCAGCCGCCAGACTTTGTCGCCGCGAATCCTCCGTTGACTGTGCTCATTCTGTCCTCAATCACCCGTGCATCCGACACACACTGCAGCTTCGACCTTCCGCCGCCGCCACCCCTTCTCCTGCCAGCCCTCTCCTGCCCTCTCCCGCCCCCCTCCGCTGCCCCCTCCCACGCCTCCGTCTTCTCACGCCGCCCCCAGTCCCCCAGGGAGGCGTCCTCCTTGCCCTCCCCGCCCGTCCGAACTCCCCGCCCACGCCCCGCCAGCCGCGCTTGCAGGATGGACTCGATCCGCAATGTCTACCGCAAGAACAAGTCGTCCGGCGAGATGAAGCGCACCATCCGCGAGGTGAGCCGGCCGCCGGACACCGCCGCTCGCCCTCCCCTGCCCACTCTCTCCTGCCTACTACCCCCGGCCCGCCCTAACCTGCCGGCTCCCCGGCCGCGCTCGTCGCCCCTACCCCTCCGCCCCGCTGCCCCAGTGCCCCTGGGGCATGTCCATGAGAACAAACTTGCTTATTTGGACTGTTTGATATCCATTCAAGAGGGGGGTATCTTGAAAACAGAAGTATACAGGAAACCCACTCACACGGATCAATATCTGTTGTTCGATTCCCACCATCCGCTGGAACACAATCTGGGTGTCATTACAACTCTACACCACAGGGCGGAAAGTGTGACAACTGATACA